CACCTTTTAGCTGTCATTTCTCTGGCTGAGAGCCAGAGAAGAAGCTGATGAAGCAGACCTCTGCTTCATCAGCTTCTTTGGGGGGCCCTAGGTGACATTACGGGTCTTAAAGACCCCTGATGTCTCCATAAAGAGGACCTGTCATTGTTTTTTGGCTATCCCATAGGGGCTTTTTAGTCCCCTATGTTATAGCAATCAAGTTAAGTGCAAAAAAAATGAGTCTCATAAGTCTCTATATACACAGTGGGAAGTATAGCACACAGTGATCTCTATATACATAGTGGGGAGTCAATGCCCCATGTATGCGTTTATTCACATGCAGATGATAGGGATTGGTTTAAATTTTTTAGATTTTATTTAACTTTTTTTTTTTTGCTTTGTAATATTTATTTTTCATTATTTGTTATTTTTTACTTTATCGCCTTTTTTTTCTTCTATTTTTATGTATTTACATTTTTATTATTTTTTCCAATTTAATGTTTACATTTTTAAGTGTTTATATATTTTATTTTTCTCTTTTTTTTTACTTGACTTTATTGCTATCACACAAGGGTAACAAGCCCTTGTGTGATAGCTTTAGGAGGTGACATGTTCTCTTTATTGACCCTGTCAACTCCAACACAGGAGTTCTAGCACAGCACTGTGCTATTTCTCCTGTGACAGGAAGGCTGCATTCCTGTGTCACTACACACATGGAGCAGAGTAGAGAACCGTTCTCTGCCCTGCTCTGTGCTCTGGAACCTAATTTGCCGTGGTCATCAAACCCCCACAGGAGGGGGGGACCCCGAAGACTACGGCAAAAAGGAAGCCCACATGCAGAGACACAAGCAGCCGGGAGCAGTACACGGCCGGCCACTGGACATAGAGGGGAGGGGAAGCGTGATATCACCGCAAAAGTCGCAGTGAGAACAATAATTCTAGGCCCATTAATCACTGATTACACTAAAATGATGAGCGGTAATAGCTTTTAAAGCGTCACCTATGGCCAATTTTGGGCATGGTTGTTTTTTGCGACTTTGCGGCCACACTCAATTTTAAAGCTTGACATGCTTGGTTTCTATTTACCTGACGTGACCCCATCTTTAATATTTTACAAAAAAATTGAGTAATTATATGTTTTATAACATAACAAAGGGATTTTTTTTTCAATTTTCGGTACTATTTTTATTATATAGTCAAAACTAAAAACCCATAGTGGTGATTAAATACCACCAAAAGAAAGCTCTATCTGTCCCTAAAAAATGTTATAAAATTTCAGTATAGCGTTGCATGCCGAATAAATGTCAGTCAAAATACCGCAGGCTGAATACTGAAAAATGGTTAAGTGGTTAAAGTGCACCTGAGCTACTGAGAACTGCCACTAGTTTAGTGGTTGATGAGCTTTAAAAACGAGCCTGGGATGTCCTCCAAAGTGTACAGTATATATATTAAAGTAAACTCAATTGCTAAAATCTCATTTTAAAAGTTATTTTCTAGTTTTATTTTATTGAAATAAAACATGATGATCTTTCCTTGATGGTCCTATTCAGTGGGTTTTGTTATGGGTTGACAGCTGTCTCCAAACTACTTAACAAACTAGTCCTGCGATGTCATCCTGTCAGTCTACCCCAGGTGGATACTACAAGTGATCGTGCCTTTGCAGGTTGGGCAGGCAATGTCCACCGTCGTCACTGTCAGGAAGACAGTACAGGGCAATGATGTGGGGGTCAATGCTGGAACAGTTGCGCGTAGACAAGAAGTGGCTGAAATAGGCTCGGGAAGATCAGCGGCACTGAGATGGGGGGAGGGGGGGAAGGGAAAACAGTATTTTATGAAAAAAAGCCATAGCAACTGTTTGATGCACATTGTTTTATCAAAAAAATCCATCCAGTTTGCATCTTTATCACTGTTAAAGTGCAATACATTGTGCCTGCAAGTACTTGCTGTTGTTTTTGAATACGTTCCCATTTGCTTTTGGATGACTGAATTCCAGGCACATGCTGTATACTGACTTCAGGCCTTGATTTCTGACTAAGCACTGGTTAATCTTCGCCCCCCTTCTGCCATTAATCCCCTTTCATTTGCCAAATGGTATAGCTCTAAGTTGGGTATATGTGGGGAGATTTTCAAACGCAGGTTCATACGAAAAATCTCAACATTCAATAATTCCATCAGAGACTTGACAAATGTAATTTGAAATTTCATTTGATTTTGATTTAACATTTGATTTTGGAATTAATTAAGTTTCCAATAGGAAAACCACATTCACTGTTAGCGATTCATTCGACTGAGAAAAATTATTCAACATGCTCCTTCAACTTTTTTAAGTCACTACAGTCAAAATTTGTTCGATGTGTACCCTACTTAAAGGGGCAATGGAGGTTTTAAAACTTTATAGCTCTGTCAGGAGGAGCATGGCTTTATTTGAACTTTTAGGCTTTAGGTCTCATTAACAACATAGGCCTAGGGTTCCTTGTCCATCTTGGGCACAAGAGATCTCAACTGAAGACAAGTGAGGGTGTACCTGTTATGTTCCATTTAACATGTGCTTGTACAGTTTTGTCCACATGTTAGGATCACCATTGATAACTCCAGGTTTGAATTTTATTAATTCTAATTATGGTCTTGATTATAGAAACAGCACTGATTTTAACCATCTGAGATCTATTGGGGGAATGCTCCATGGTTTTCTTGGTACCCAACTGTGGTGCCATCAGCAAGGTGATGCTCCAGACTGGACTCATCGCATATGTTTTACAGATACACTGCAAGAAATACACTGACAGCCAAACCTTAAAGTGTATCTCCAAATAAAGCAATTTCATATAAAGCATAACCCCCCCCCCCCAAGTACAAGTAGTAGTCCCAACCAGATATATATTCACATTGTTTTGTACAAAGTGAAGCAGCATTTGTCTGTTTAATTTTTCAGTGCTAGTTTGCTTATTAGGTTTACTGAAGAATAATGCTATACACTATTTGTATTACTAGCTCAAATAATTATTAGTATTTTCTAAAAGACCTCTGTTCGGATTTTTACCCAAATCTTTGGATTTTAGTTATCCACTGGATCTCCAACTTTAACAATTCTCACATTAGCAATATTTCAGGTAGAGCAGTGAGATATTCAGCTTTGCATATGTTATTTATCCAGTGCATTATTTGGGGAATGTTCATTTTTTGTTGCTATAAGGGTTAATACTGATCCTTTAAGAACCTGTGCAAACAAAAGGTAAAAATGGTATGTAGACCCCATGAAAATGTAAGACATGTTCAACATATTTGAACAGGCAAACAATAGATTTTTATTCAAACAGTGCCTACAGATAAAGGTGATATACTAAGGAAAAGTTGCAGTTTCAATAAATGTTCAAGCAAAAATATCAATAGATGTACTGTGGTCTAAAGCTGCAATTGCCCTGTTTAGAAAAAAATTCATAACTGCCTACCAGGCTCTAACATGGACTTTGTGACATTTTTGTCTACTCCTCCATGCAAAATTCCTTCAGTTGTAAGATGTTTTTGGTACATTACCTGTCCAATTTTAGGCACACATTTTTATTTCATAGCAAAGCATTTCCCTGTAATTTTTAAAATGTTTACAAAATGTGTGCACCCATGTGTATATATACCACAAAATACAATCAAAGTCTGCTTATTAAACTAATATCACAATACTGTGACTATTATTTAACATAGAGGAATGGTAAAGCTCACAATAAATGTATGCATTTACTTTAGGAGAACTTTATTCCCTTTCGACGCTACATTGTGACATACACACACACATGGGGGAAAAACGCTTTGCGTAACTTGGGTTGAGTAGGGTAAAAGGCAAATTAGCACAAAGGTGACTTTTTTAACAGGTTCAAATTCAAACTTTGAAGCGCATTGTGTTCACTTACTTGAGCATTTATTGCTTGCACAGTTAACCGCAAATGTCATCCAGATCATCCAACATCATTGTTGCGACCTGGGAATTCAATATGGGTGGCAATATTTTTATCTTTTTTTCTTAATGAGGGTAGGGGTGTTTACATCTGGTCAGTGGAGACCATATCCAGATCCCCGTACAGTTGTGCTGCAGCAGATAACTATAGCAGTGAACGTGACATCACTACTCTTCCAATGTGTACACTAAGCAGTAGCATAGTGTGTACTTCAGCTTCTATGGTGCACTCATAGGGCACGAACTGTAGAGATATCAGCTAATTGTTTCAGCTCCTGGGCTTAGTACAAAATGCTGGCAGTTCCAGCCTGAATCCCTGCCGGGATCCATGGTAGTCACTGATTCCCAGTAGCAATTTAATATGGTGCTGGGGCAAATAGCCACTCTCAGGACTCAAGTGGTTAATAATACCAAAGAGAACACCAGACCTCAGATATCTGGATGTAAATAAAACTGGTTCTGAATAATCCCTATGAAGGTTGTTATAATTCTCACCTAATCTGCAACACCAGATTCTCATTTCTTGGTTTGGCAGTGGTGGTAAATATAGGAATGTCCTTACATTTCCCATGTGACATTTGGATTTTTGTTCCAAAAACAGCGGATTGGGTTTTCACTTTAAATTTAAAGTTGTGTATATTGGCTTGTTTCATGTCTGACAATTAGGGTTCTTATTTCCTCTTAGCCCTGCCACCAGCAATGATACAGTACCAAAAACAGGAAAAGCTGATTGATGGCTACAGCTTGCTGCATGTAATGACATGTAAATAATCCAATAGCCTGTGAGCGTCCTTCCCTGTTATCTCTCATCCATGGAAATATTACACTGGAAATATTGTTAATGCAAAGCTAGCATTTGCCCTCGGGCTACCCCTTTATCTAGTACACTTTGTGTCATGCTTGGTATGCTTGGTCATAAACCCCGAGACATTTAGACATATATTTTTCAGTGGACTTGCATATGATCAGAACAAGTGATTAACATGTCTATTTTATACACTTTAAGTAGTGCAAGAGCTTACAGACTGGACTTTTTGATCACTAATTAGATGTTTCATTTAATTGATTTTAGGCCCTGAAAGTAGAACTTCAGGCTCAGATGCGATAGCTGGTCTGTCTAAAATGTTTAATGAACAAAGAAATAAATGCACCAAGGAATCAAGGAAAACAGAGAAAAGCAGAAAGGTCAGTTGAACTGTAAATTACTTTGATTGGTCCTTTTTTAGTGTTTTGCTCAGCAGTGGATTTTTGAATGTGTAGCACAAATCTGTATTGATTTGCTAAAGTACTGAAGCAGTTGAATATGTCGTTAATGCCTACAGCTTATTGACTTGTCTCCTCTGAACAGCAGTGGCAGAACTGTGAGCATAATTTCTACATTGTATGTAACAGGAATAGAGGTGAAAAGCATAAAAAATATATAAATGCGTTATTACATTCATATTCAGTTTACTCGATATACACTGGTAGATTGGTGTTCAGTAGCCATTTTTTTTAAAGTGTAAATACTTACCATCTCTGATCATTGGCAAAGTTAGTTATGTGTAAAACAAACCAAGTGACTGCACTGCAGAAGCTGAAGACAAAATGAAAAATTCCCTAAAAATGCTTATAAATGTTGAACTTCTGAAGGTAAAACTGTATAGTAAGATTAAATCACGTTGGCATTAAAATGTGGACTGTGATAACAAGCTTTAGGTAATGTAGTGCGCACAGATCTGAGAAAACAATTCTATTCAGGATGAAACAGGCCCAAACTAATTGTAAGATGCTGCTCCGGAAACATGAACTTGGCATGCTGATAAGCTGGAAGGCATCAGTGGTTTAAAGGACATCTAACCCACACACATTTTCACCCTGACATTGTATTTACCTGGTATCAAGATTACAATGCCCCTATGATTACATACTTAATTGAGCGGATAATGAGAATTGGCAAAAGCAGAAAATTAATTTTAGTGAAAACTGTTTAACATGATCAGTAGATCCAACAAGATAGGTAGATGCAATGATATGCAGATTTTGACTTCTTCTTTCTTGCCAACTGATATTTTTGCCTCCTAATTCTCCCTATCCGTAAATTAGTAGTTCAGGTTGATCATCACATTAAAGAAGCAATAAAGAGGTGGAATTGCAGGAGCCAAGTACAACTTTTCCAAGAAAGCTGACTGTATCTCTGGATCTGTTTGTATCTGGTATTTTTCTAGTTAAGCTATCTTTCATTTTAAAGCAAATATAGCCACAGACTAATTATTTTCTTCACTCAGGCTGGTCAGTTTCTCCCAAACATTATAGATTTTCTGTCTCAAGGACCAGTTTTCCACCCTGCTTCTCGGTTTCTGGCTTTTAATGGCTTGGTTGTTTAAGCGAGGTCCTGAGAGATAGGGGCCTGCCTGATTCAGGTATCCCAATGTTTTTAAAGGCTGGAAATTTCCATCCCAGGAACTACTCTGTGGGATGAATCCTTTTTTTTTTCTCCAGTCTGGGTCAACATTTGGCCTTAATTACCATTAAGGGTCAAATCTCAGCCCTAGTGATTCTCCCCTGAAATTTTCTTTTGGTGAGCTTGAGTAAGACAGACAAACAAGCAAGTTGTAGGAGCGCTACTAACCTGGGAATGCTGATGTTTAGTGATGTGTGAAAAAACTGACAATAAGCCTTACAGTTAAAAGGCAGCTGATGTGTCAGGAGGTGTCCTGGTGTCTAAGTGTCAGAAACCAGGGGAGCAACCTAAATCCAAAGATGGATGGCTTCAGGTGTAGGTAGTGACAGGTTTAGGAGCAGTGTGAAGAAATTTCACAGCCCACGTACTCGGCTGGCCAGGCCGAGCCGCAGCGGCTTAGGAAGGGAGAAGAGGAGAGTTTTAGCAAAGGTGAGGGCTCTCAGTGCGGTACCAGCTGTGTGTTTGAAGGCACAGCCTCTTTCTCAATCCACAAAACGATACTGATGGCGGGGAACTGGAGATTTTTTAAAACTGACATAATGGGAGGAGTAGAGGCTGTTAGTCTCCTTTGATAGGCCAACAATCGGGGAGGGAGGGGCATGGGGACACCCCCCCCCTGGGGGGACGGGCAGAGCGGAGTGAATTATGATGGGAGAGACAAGCTACGGTTTTGCTGTCTGCTGAACGAACTGTGCTGATGTTCGGTACTGAAGTTGAAAAGTTAGTTTTCTTATGTTATGTCAAAATAATTGTTAGGAACACGTTATAATGTCTGACCAAGCCCGGAAGGCGGAATCAATTAATTAGGAAACTTTTTTTAATTATAAA